TACAACGAAATGGTAGATTTCGGTGGGTAAACCACCGCAATTTCGGACAAAATTGGGCTACCTGTTGAGGCCTTCTGCGCCGCGGCTGTGTGTAGGGTGAAGACGTAGACGTGCCCGAAAGTCCGTAAAGTTTATGTTCACGCTGTGGATGGGCCCTGCCCCTGTTTTTCATGCATCGGAATGATATTTTGAGCGGTGCCTTGTCATGAGCGGTCTCCGCGAAGCAATTTTTCCGTGTACCCACATTATTGTCTGCTGAGAAGTAGAGAAAAAAGGTGGGTGGTAGGTATACCCACCTTTTTTCTCTACTTCCCTTTACAAAAAATACTTGCGAACAGCAGTGAAAGTAGCACCACCGTCGCCGTCGCCAAGTTGTTCTTCGCCGGTGGGGTAGGGTAGGGTAGGGTTTGGTAGGGTTGGGTCGGTCGGTCTGTCGGTCGGCCTTGGGCCGACTCTCGATCGCGCCGCCGCCGCCGCCGCCGTATGCAGTGTACCTCCGTCGAATCATCGCCGTCGGCGCTCTCCGTTGTTAGAAAGCATTGTACAGTCGACCCCGCTTGAAGGATGCACATGGTTTTTCCTGGCGTCCGTAAAGCGGGGTTGCGTCCTTAAAATTCAGGGGACGATAGCTCACCATCCCCGGGGCCAATGGAGGCATGCTATACCTCAAGCTACGCGTCGTTTGCTAAGGAAGGGGGTGGTACGAAAAGTCAGCACCGCCGACACGACTGGCACAACCGTTTGTTGACGTCGAAAATATTTACACTACTTAAAATGAGATGTAGAGCAGTCGGGGACGTGTTGAAAACAAGTACAGCACACCAGTTTGTACTTGGCCAACTAATGTACTGCATAGCGGCAGCGGAAGGAGGAGGAAAGTCCAAGTAGACATATACGGAGTATTTATCTCATTCTTGTGAAACAAAAATAACGAGCGTTTTTCAGCGTCGCACCGAGGAACACCAGTACATTTCACTGTCCCGGCGGAGACCAAAAGCTACCTGGACGGCTTTTCCTTCCACATATATATCGCGAAGAGTTCCCTGAACCTTCCCCCGCAGCTTTGCTCTACGGCTCTGTTGAGTTTCAAAGAGTAAACGAATGAACGGTCTTCGAAAGAACGTACTGCGGCTCACGGTACTCGCCATCCCTTCCCTTCGCGTACAAATACAGATAGCGCCCGCAGTGAAGAAAAATTCTGTTAATAAAAAAGGCCTAAGTATATACGAAAAATAAGCAAAAAGGGCCAAGAAACATAGCTCGATCTCGGCCACATCGTAAGAAACGTGATCGTGCGATACCCCATGAC